CAGGGACAAGTGCCATGAAAAAAATAAGGGTATGTAATAGAGGGTGGCTTTTTTCTTCTTAATTTCTCTGATGTTCAAAAGCTTAGATGGAGTCAGACCAGTCAATGTTTTCCTTTCAGGTCTCTCTCCCCACAGAAAGATGCTCTCCACCCACCCAGGATGCAACAACAGCAGCAGCAATAGTAATAACAACAGTAAATAACCGGGGGCCGGCGCCACTTGGTTAATCCTCTGCTTGCGGTGCCGGCATCCCATATGGGCACCGGGTTCTAGTCCCGGTGGCTCCTCTTCCAGTCCAGCTCTCTTCTGTGGCCCGGGAAGGCAGTGGAGGATGGCCCAGGTCCTTGGGCTCCTGCACCTGCATGGGAGACCAGGAGGAGGCACCTGGCTCCTGGCTTCGGATCAGTGCAGCACACTGGCCGTGGTGGCCATTTGAGGGGTGAACCAATGGAAGGAAGACCTTTCTCTCTGTCTCTCTCTCTCTCTCTCACTGTCTAACTCTACCTGTCAAAAAAACACAACAGTAAATAACCTTATTTTCCTCAGGCCTTTTTATTATTTAATCACTGTCATATATTAATTACTATATTTCAATTATAGAAACAATATACCAACACATTTTTATGACAAAAAGTCAAATTGTACAGATAAAGTGAATGTCCTCTGGACATCAATCCAAATTCCTTCCCTGAAGTCATTTGTTGAGTGATGCGAGCTTTGTTTTTCTCAAGCTTCTATAAACACACACACACACACACACACACACACACACTGGAATTACAGTTTAGCTTGATTTGTTTTGCTTTTGCATAAATGCTATTGTACTGTGTGTATTGTTATGCAATTAGCTACATGTTTTGGAGCTCTTTCATGTCAGTACATACAGTATAACTCATTCCTTTTAACAGAATTCTGTAGTATTCAGTCATTTAAATGTATCAAATTTATTTAACCCTTCACCTACTGGTAGATACTTAGGTTGATTCCAACTTTTCTCTTTCCAAATAAAAATCCAATAAAAAATATTTGTCATGTCTCTGTACACATATTTAAGTATTTCTTTTTTTAAGATTCATTTGAAAGACAGAATTACAGAGGGGGAGAGAGAGAGAGAGAGTGAAATCTTCCATCTGCTGGTTGACTCCCCAGAAGGCCTCAATGGTTGGGGCAGGGCCAAGCCTAAGTGAGGAGCCAGGAGCTTCATCTGGGTCCCCCACATGGGTGCAGGGGCCCAGACACTTGGGCCATGCTCTGCTGCTTTCACAGATGCGTTAGCAGGGAGCTGGTTAGGGTTAGGGTTAGGGTCAGAAGTGGAGCAGCCAGGATTCGAGTTAGCACCCATATGGGATGCTGGTGTGGCAGAGGCATCACCCAGTACACCACAGCACTGGCCTTCAATTGCTTATTTTTTTAAATGTACGGGGCCAATGTTGTGGCATAGTGGGTAAAACCACCACCTGCAATGTCGGCATCCCATTATCCCTTCAATCTCTCTGTCTTTCTCTCTATCTCTGTCTTTCAAATAAATAAATAAATCTTAACAGAAAAAGAGAAGTATCCAGGAAAACAAGACAGAACCATGAAATCCCAACTGGATGGAAAGTTTTTTTAAAAAAGATTAATTTGTTAAGTCAACAACAGGAGTCACTGTGCACTTACTCCTCATGTAGGATCTCTGTCCTTAGTGTGCTGTACATTGAGATTTAATGCTATAACTAGTACTCAAACAGTATTTTTCACTTTATGTTTCTGTGTGGGAGCAAACTGTTGAAATCTTTGCTTAATGTATGCTAAACTGATCTTCTGTATATAAAGAGAATCGAAAATGAATCTTGATGTGAATGGAAGGGGAGAGGGAGTGGGAAAGAGGAGGGTTGTGGGTGGGAGGGACGTTATGGGGGGGAAGCCATTGTAATCCATAAGCTGTACTTTGGAAATTTATATTCATTAAATAAAAGTTAAAAAAAAGATTTATTTTATTTAATTGAAAGTCAGAGTTACAGAGAGAAAGGAAGAACAGAGAGATCTTCCATTTACTGTTCCACTTCCCAGATAGTTGCTACATCCAGCACTGGCCAGGGTGAAGCCAGGAGTCAGAAGCCAGGAGCTTCTTCTAGGTCTTTTACATGGATGCAGGGGCCCAAACACTTGGGCTATCTTCTGTTGCTCTCCCAGGTGCATTAGCAAGGAGCTGGATCATAAGTGGAGCAGCCAGGACTCAAACTAGCACCCACATGGGATGCTGGCATCACAAGCTATACCACAACACCAGCCTGTTTGTTCATACTGAACTAATCATTTTTTCTACCCCTCATCTAATATTCCTATGTCATGTGGGTTTATAGATGACCTCCTATGTAGGCGTATGGTAAGGTTCTATGAGGGACGGTCCTCATAGTCTTAAATGAAGATTTTTGACATGTTAATTTTTGCTGTCTTGAGGTCACTTAGAGCAAATGTTGTCTAAGATGTATAAATCGGTCAAGAACACCACTTAAAGGGGGTATTTTCAGATGGACAGGCCTGTAGGCGTGGTTTCCAGCTATCCCTGGCTGTGATCTGCCAGCCCTTGTAGAAATCCTCGGTAGGTGCCCATCTGGGTGCTTGAGGGAGGGTCCCAGTGGGGGGAGGCCAGAAGGTGTCCTCCTAGATACAGCCAGATGCTCTGGTTGCTGGGCACCCAGCCTGGCAGGAAAAGCGGTCACCATGACAACTCCCCGATCTGTGATTTTTTTTTTTTTTGCATTTCTCTTCTTCCAATAAATTCCAAGGTATTCTAGGGACAGGCAATGATGGCTTTCAGGACACAATGTCCTCTGCCCCAGCAACAGGGGCAGGAAATGGGGGAGCAGAGATGTGTGTATGGTTGAGTGAGTGAACCCTTGTCAGTACAAGTGCATTTGTGCCTACTTCTGGGTTGAAACGTGTGCCTGTTCATGTGCCATGCATGTATCACGCCAAGGGATGAATCACTGTTAATCTGCCCCTTTTGCCCTCCTTCTTCTCGCCCCCTCTCTACTGCCCCTGTGCTGTGAGAGCTGCCCCAGCCCTTTGCAAAGGGAAGTGCTGAGTCATGGCTCCGGCTGTTTTCTGTCTCCTACCCGGCATCTCCCTTTTTCCCTCAGTCCACCCTTTGCCCTGCTGGGTCCTCTTGACCACCTTGTCACCAGTAGGACTCACTCTCCCCAGGTTCATTCCCTGGCAGTAAAGAGAAGGCACCTTGCGGTCTGTGCACTGTTCCCCCCGCCCTCCCACCCCTTGCCTTGCCTTCTCAGAAGACTGTTCCCGACCCTTCTTCTTTCGCCTGTCTTCCTTCTCAGGAAAACAGGACTCACCGAATTTAACTGGGGAGGCTAATTCTTCCATGTGTTCACGCTGAGCCTCCTCCAGTCTCCCTGCCCCTAATCGGATTATGGCAGCGGCTCATGCCTCGGGACAGGACAAGGAAAGTGAGATTTAACTTGACACCACTCACTGAGATTCACTGAGGCTTTTTTTCCTCCTCGTTCCAGTTCTCCAGTGCAGACCACAGGCTGTTGGAGGCGCGTGCGTGTGTGCATGGGTACTTAGTGCACCTGGAGGGTGCCGTGTCTATAGGGCAGGGAGCTGGATAGGGGCTTCCAAGGGCGGGATGCTTGGAGGTCTCTATAGGCTTTCGGGTCTCTTTCCCACTCCCTGTAGACTCCTCTAACTCAGAAACCTCCATCAAGTAGCTAGTCTCTAACTAATGCCAAACAAGGCGGACCAAGACTGTTTCCTCAGCCAGAGGTGAGGAAGCAGGGAGACAGCCCCGCCCGCGCGGTCTGGTTACTATGGCGACAGCCGCGGGGTGACCCGAGTGATCCTCGCTCCCTCCTCCCAAACCCTGAGAGATGACGGCACCGCGCTGACTGCGCCAAATTCCAGCCAATGGGCGGCTGCTCCCGCCTTCCCTTCCGCCAGCTCTCCCCCTCCCCCTCGAGAACTCGATTCACAAATCTGGACAGGGATTTCCGGCTCCCCGCCCGGTGCTAGGGCGCTGGGCCTTAGGCCAGGTTGAGAGCTGAGTCCGGTCCTCCCGGCACAAGTGGGAGCCGAAACTCCTGGGTTCTCGGACCAGACTTTGTAACTCGCCGCCAAGACAGAGCTCACCCCTTCCCAGATTATTGGAAGGCTTGGTTGAGGCCGAATCTTCAAGGTTCCCGCACCTGCAAAGCCCCTACCCTGCCCGAGCACGCCCGTCAGCACCACGGACAGCGTGCCGGGGGCCTGGTTGTTGCCGGCCCCTCCGGGTTCTCCCTGGATCCGCGCCGCCACTGTGGCGAACAGGGCCGGAGCCGCGAGCGCCCTGCTAAGGCCAGGCCTCCTTGGGCAACGAGATCGTAAACGGGTCGCTTAGCCATGAGGCAGAGAAAGCAACGGGGACGGAGAAGGGGTTCCATCTCCCTCAGCGACCTCTGTCCATATAGGGCCAGGGTCTGAGTCTCAAGCAGGATCGGACCTCCCAAGAGTATCCCGGGTGTGTGTGTGGCCCAAGAAGTCCAGTGCTGGTGGTAGTTGGGTGCTTAGGAGCGCCAAGTGTGGCCGTCAGGCCCACCTGGGAGTGGTAACCACAGACTCAGGCTTGGCTGGATTCTTGACCAGAGCGATGGTGGGGAGAGATGGAAGGGGACTAGAAGAGCAGCAACAGTGACCACTGCCTAGCTCTGCTACAAGGGGTCACACCACCAAAGAGGAACAACCAGTGTCCTCATCGCTCAGCCCCTAAGTGGCCTGGGCACTACCAAGGAGCTAGGAGGGACAAAATGGAGGTGGGGTGGAGGTTGGATTGAGTCTTATCAAACCTTGAGCTACCTCGCTTCACTCCGTAAAATGGAAGCCAATGGGGGTCAGGGGAGGGAAGAGTGGCAGTTCTCAGGGACTTGGCTTTGCCCACCACCTTGCCGTCCCGCACCCTCCTGCCAGTTCCACTCCCTTTCCCTCCCTCCCGGGACCCAAAGAAATGCCGGCGCAAAACCATCTGCAGGCGCTTCCAGCGCTTTATAGCTCTCTCCGGGACAGACCGACGGACAGACAGACAGTGCGGCCCGCGCCGTCGGCCCGCATCATTGGCACCTTGGACATGGCCCCAGGCCCAACCCAGTCCCCGGTACTCTCCTTGGAGGCTTCCGGTCGCGGCCAGCTCAGCACCTCGGACAGATCCCTGCCCACCCTCCCCTCCCCTCCCCCCTCCCTCCGGAAACAACCAGATAAATTAAAAGGGGTGTGTGTGGGGGGTGACAGAAAACCTAAGGATAGGAAGAAGGGCGCCCCTCCTCCTGAGTAAGGAGAGTTTTCCCCTCCCACCGGCCGCTGTGGTGCTGCCGCTGGGGTGGTGTCCTAGGCTGATTTTGCCCCCAACCTTAGGCTCCTGCAAGAAGCCGCAGCCCCTTCCCCCACGACTCCCGGCATGCAACACGTTGGAAAAGGTGGGGGAGAGGCGGTGGGGGTGGGGCGAGGTGGTGCCTGGGCGCCTGGGGCTGCAGTTTCTCGTCGCACCTCAAGCAAAAACTGATGTTCCTTTTGATCTGGGAGGGGGCTGCAGGGACGCCGTCAGGGGAAGAGATTCGGGGCGACACAAGCAGAGGGGAGAGGCAGACGGGAGGGGAGAGGCTGACACGTGGCCGGGAAAGGGAGCAAGAAGGGGAGGTAGGGACACAGGTGCAGGAGGAATGGGGCCCGGGGTGCACTCAGTCAGCTGGAGATGTTCGGTAAGCGGAAAGGTGGAGGGAGAAGGGGTGGGAAAGCAGGCAGGAGGAAGAACGAAGACACGGGAGAGGCGAGGAAACCGACACAACCACGGGGAGGCGGGCCTAGAGACACGCATAGCAGGGCAGGGGGCGACGCGTAGAGATGGAGATGGGGGCGCGGGCACGGAAAGGGGGAGGCGGGGGTGCCCTTCCCGCGCTCATCCCTATCCCCACCCCACGCCCAGCAAAATCCAGACGCTGCGGCCTCAGGCGTCCTAGCCTCCACCTTCCGGGCAGGGGCGGCTCCTCCTCGGCCGGGCCGTGGCGCGGAGCCGCGGTACCAGCGGCGGTGGCTGGAGGGTCCCGGGGATCCGAGTGTGTGTCGGGGGCTGGGGCGGGGGATGGGCGCGGTCCCTGGGTATCCCTAACGGTCCAGGTTCATAGTCCAGTGCTTGGGTCCGGCCGCGCAGCTGTCCCTGGCGGCCGAGGGGGCGGCGGGCGCGCCCCCGCTGGGTGGACCCCCGGCGCCCGCGGCGGCCTCGCCCTCGTTCTTGAGGTCTTGAAAGACCTGCGTGAAGAAGTGAGGGTCGGCGTTGAGCCGCAGCATCTGGGGGCTGAGCCGCTGGATGAGGCGCAGGCAGCGCTGCCAGAAGCGCTCCTTGTCGGGCTCCACGAGAAAGGGCTTCAGCGGGTAGGAGATCTCGTTGCCCATATAGGAGTAGGCGAGGTAGAGGCAGGTAAGGAAGGCGGCCTGCAGCTCGGCGGCCGACGCCAGCTCGTCCCCGCGCAGCGACTCTCGGCACAGCAGGTACACGAACACCAGGTTGGCGGGCGTGATGAAGGCCTGGTCTTGCCAACCCTGCAGCAGCAGCGAGCGGTCCACGCCGCGGAACCAGCCCACCAGCTCGCCGGGGCTCAGCTCCTTGAGGCGGTAGCAGCGTCGGCACACGAAGTCGCCCAGGCAGCGCAGCAGCTCGCCGGTGGACGCCTGCACGATGACCCGCCGCGGCGAACCGCCGGGCACCGGCGGCGCCGCCTGCGGGGCTAGGGGCGGCGGCGGCGGCGGCTTCCCCCCGCCGGAGCCTGGCGGCGGGGCGGCCGCACTGCCCCCCGACGGCGGCTCGCAGGTGGCGGCGGCGGCGGCGGCCGCGGGCACGGTGGGCACCGGAACGGCCAGGGGCTTGGCGGCGCCGCCGCCGTCGGGGGGGTCCCGGCCCTTGCGGAGAAGGTTCTCGCGGTTGCGTTGCTGGACCAGGGGGTCGGGGCCCGCGGACGCCGGCTTGGGCGTCACCTTCTTGCTGCCTTTCTTCTTCTTGGCGGACGCGGCCACCAGGCGCTTCCAGGTGAGAGCGGAGATGAGGACGGACGGCCGCTTGAGCCGGCTCTCGCCTTTGCCGCCCTTGCCCACCGGCGGCGCTCCGTAGCCCCCCAGCGCCTCGTCCCCCGCGGGCGGCGCCTTCTTCTTCTCCTCCGGCAGTCCGCCGGGCCGCCGGCCCTTGGCCGAGGAGGCAGGGGAAAGGGACAGCACCGTGCCCATCCTGCAGAGCGGGGCCGGCGCCCGGGCCCCGGCGGGAACCGCGGGCCGCGCCGCTGCTGCTGCAGCCCCGGGGGACCCGGCGGTGGGGGGCCTAGCCCCGGCCCGGGCGCGCGGACCGGCGGCGGAAGGAGGCTGCTCGGCTGCTCAGCGGCGGCGGCTCCGGGTCTGAGCTGCGCCAGCTGCAGCGTCAGCCCCACCCCTTGGGCCCCTTCTTTCGCTGCGCCGCGCCCCGCCTCGCGCAGCCAATCCTCGCCCGAGCTGCCCTCCTGACCGGCAGCCCTCCTGGCCAATAGAGTCTCGCAGGCTGAGGGACTCTCTGAAGTCCCGCCCAATCCCTCGCCCTCTGCCCGGGGTCCTTTCCCTTTACCCGAAGAGGGGAGAGGGGGAGGAAGGGGCCTTCGTTCGCGGGACCCGCTGTGGATCAGAATGGTGGGCGGGGACGTGGCTGCTCCGTCCCATCCTCTTGGTCCTAGGGCCCTGGGTCATCTTGTGTTGATGTACTGAATAGCAGAGAAGCCATGGGAACCTTGGAGCCGGTGTTGGGGGCCGCGTGGGCAGCGAGAACACTGATGGGGACGCCCCGGGCCCAGCTGGGTGGCGCTGCCGTGGTTCCTCTAATCTGGCGGGGGGGGTTGTCTCCCCAAGAACTCCGTTCCGTGTTCCTCCACTGTGGGGCGGGAGGAGGGGGCAGCCAGACCCTCAGACAATCCTGTTTGCCGGCCTGATTCTCTGCCACAGAGCCGTGGGGCAGACCCTGGGCGCGGGTCCTAGTCAGCTCCTCCCGGTTGGTTTTCGCCTCCCACGCGCACAGAAGGCGCACTTGGGTGGGTGATGGATGATGGCTGGACGAGGGCTCGGTTGGTCTTTTCAGGCTTGGACAGTGGGCGGGGCCTTCTTGTTCGGAGGAGGCCCAAGGTGGTGGGCCTCAGCCTCCCATACATCCTCGGGTCCAGGTGGAGGTGGCTTTCCATCGTGGAAGGCTTCCTTTCTCCAAGATCTCAGCTCTTCCCATTCCCAGCTCTAAGCCGTTGGGCTGGGTCTTGCCCGTTTCTCTCTGGGTCTGTTCCTTCCTCAGCACCCACAAGGTACAAGACAAGCTGCTACCATGCTCTTAAAATCACACCTCCAGGGCCGGCGCTGTGGCATAGCCAGTAAAGCTGCCGCCTGCAATGTGGCATCCCATATGGGCGCCGGTTCAATTCCCGGCTGCTCCACTTCCAATCCAGCTCTCTGCTATGGCCTGGGAAGGCAGTAGAAGATGCCCCAAGTCCTTGGGCTCCTGCACCGTGTGGGAGACCCGGAAGAAGTTCCTGGCTTTGGATTGGCGCAGCTGCAGCCGTTGCGTTCATCTGGGGAGAGAACCAGCAGATGGAAGACCTCTCTCTCTCTGCCTCTCCTTCTCTCTCTGTGTAACCCTGACTTTCAAATAAATAAATCTTTTAAAAAAATCATACTTCCTCCAAGAAGCCTCTTTGGGCTGTTTGGAACAGACCTGGTCCTTTTTTTTTTTTTCTTTTTAAGATTTATTTAATTTATTTGAAAGGCAGAGTTACAGATAGAGAGAAAGAAAAATATTTCCCATCTGCTGTCTTACTCCCCAGTGACCGCAATGGCCAGGGCTGGGCCAGGCCAAGCCCAGGAGTCTGGGACTCCATGCAGGTCTTCCACAGGGGTGCAGGGGCCCTAGCACTTGGGCCATCTTCTGCTGCTTTCTCAGGTGCATTAGCAGGGGGCTGGATAATCCTTTGGGCCTTACTGCAGCCTAGCTGATTCTGTGTGTCTCGTAGGGTATCTTGACCCTTCTTGGGGCCTATCTGTGGCTCCCTCAACACAGGAACCTGCCAGCTAGTTCTTTGGACTTGGGTCGTGGATATGGGTTTGGTCAGGGAGAGAAGTCCCTGTGTTGGATTCACAATAAAATCCTCAGAATTGCCCCTGGAGTCGCTTCCATGTGCCCCACAGACCAACACAGCCTCAAGGGCCCATTGCTACGAGGACTGGTGTATGCACACGTGTGTGTGTGTGTGTGTGTGTGTGTGTGATTCTAAGCAGAATGTTCCAGAAGGCACTTGGGCTGTGCCCCAGCTACCAGCACCCCCCCACACACACGCACACACACACTTTCTCAGCAATCCCACAGTCCCCACTCACTCACGGCCTCCTGGGGCCTGCCCTCTGTCTTGACTCCCCACCACCCTACCATAGACAGCTATGGCCACACAGGGACTTGTGCCTCCCACCTGGGCCCTTTCTCAGTAGGGTCCCTCCTGCTCCCTTGGATCCGAGCTCTGTTCTCCTGCAGCCCAAGCTGACCTGCCCAGCCTCTTATTCTTCCTGTCACTGCGGGGACATGTTCCCTCTTTTCAGCTCATGTAATTGCCCCCCCTGCCTCCTACAAGGCCTTCTGAGTCAGCCTTTATCTGACACGCGAGGAGCAGTCGGATCGGGGTCGTCAAGGACAGGCCCAAAGAGACTGAGCCGTGCTGGCAGGAACACCGGGCATGTGTTGGTCTGAACAGCACGTGGGTCCTCCCAGCTCTGTCCCCGGGAGTCCCTCAGTGACGTGAGGCCTATTGCAGGTGTCGTTTAGGACAAAATCCCCTATGCAGCACTCACGGACGTCACCATCACGGCACCTGTACGACCAACCCAGCTGTGACCTCCTGTTGATGTCTTGGTCAGAATCAAGAATTGCCTCCCCTACTCCAGGGCCCCCAAACCTGGTGCCTTTGAGGGTCTCACTCCCCCTTGTCATGGCCCCTCTGTCTGGCTCTGGTTATCCCTGCTGAATCTCTGAGCTCCTGCCACGGGGCCAGAACCCTCCCTCAGCGCCACTCTACCTGCTGCCATGCTCTTAAAATCACACCTCCCCCAGGAAACCTCTTTGGGCTGTTTGGAACAGACCTGGTGCCATTCTTTTTTTTTTTTAAAGATTTATTTAAGTTATTTGAAAGGCAGAGTTACAGAGAGAGAGAAAGAAAAATATTTTGCATCTGCTGTTTCACTCCCCAATGACTGCAATGGCCAGGGCTGGGCCAGGCCAAACCTAAGAGCCTGGATCTCCATGCAGGTCTCCCACAGGGGTGGCAGGGGCCCTAGCACTTGGGCCATCTGCTGCTGCTTTCTCAGGCGCATTAGCAGGGAGCTGGATACTCAAATCAGTGCTCATACGGGATGCCAGCATTGCAGGGGGTGGCTAAACCAACTGTACCACCACGCTGACCCCTGGTGCTTCTTCCAACATCAGCCTTTCTGACCTCTTCCCCTCAGCAGCAGCATCTGTGGAATAATTCGGTTACGGGCTGGTCTCTGGATCCCAGGCCCAAGATGAAAAGATGGGTGTGAGCTGGCTCTGTGGTGCAGTGGGTTAAAGCCCTGACCTGCAGCACCGGCATCCCATATGGGCAACAGTTCTAGTCCCAGCTGCTCCTCTTCCAGTCCAGCTCCCTGCTGGTGCACCATGGAAAGCAGTGGAAGATGGCCCAAGTCCTTGGGTCCCTGCACCCACGTGGGAGATTCAGAAGAAGCTCCTGGCTCCTGGCTTCAGATCAGCCCAACTCCAGGCCATTGTGGCCATCTGGGGAGAAAACCAGCAGATGGAAGACCTCTCTGTGTCTCTACCTCTCTCTGTAACTCTTTCAAATAAATAAAATAAAATAAAAAACAGAAAAGATGGTTTGGATGGGATCTTAAGGGGCAAGCAGACAAAGCAATCAAAGCAGATTCGTGAAGAGTGACAGCCTCGCTCTATACATGAGCAGGAGGCATCAGGGGACAAGGGAGGGATATTTTGTTCCGACAAGGTGGAGGCCAAAGGGGATAAATGTAGCGCAATGAGGACTTCCTGGAGGAGACAGGCTTCAAAGGGGTGGTGATTTCCCCTCCGCTCTGCAAGGCCAGGGTCTCTGTTCTCAGATTCACGTATCCATATCAGTTGCTCTATGTTGTTTCTTGTCTGTCCGGTTCCTGTGTGCTCCCTAGGGACAGCGCTGGTTGTCTTAGGTTCCCCGGGATGGGAACCTTCCCCCCCCCCAACACAAGGCCAGGCTCCTTGTCTGTCTCCATCACCCTATAGGTTTTGCCTAGAATGGCGTGTTGTGTAGATAGCTGGTTATTCCTGAAGGCTCTTTAAGGCAAGAATTTCTGGCTTTGATCAAGAACTGGGGGACCCAGAATGAGAATTTAGCCTGGATAGGATTACATTCTTTTCTTAAATATTTCATTTATTTATTTGAAAGGCAGAGTTTCAGGGGAGGGTGGGAACACCCTGATGGTTCACTCCCTAAATGGCCGCAATGGCTGAGGCTGGGCCAGGATGAAGCCAGGAGCCTGGAACTCCATCTGGATCTCCCATGTGGGTGGCAGGGGGCACAGCACTTGGGTCATCTGCTGCTTTTCCAGGTGCATTAGCAGGGGGCTGGGTCAGAAGAGGAGCAGCTGGGACTCGAACCGGCACCCATATGGGATGCCAGCATCCCAGGTGGCAGCTTAATCTGCTGTGCCACAAAGGATTGATGACGATCACCACCAGTTTCACCTTAGATGAGCCCACACTCCTCGACCTGGGCAAGTAGGCCCATTTTAAGGGAACGTCTCCAAACAATGCACTCAGACACTTCCTCTCTGTGGCCACTTGCTGAGAAGCCACAGCCTAAGGAGGCAGAGACAAACAGTCTAGTCCATTGCCAGTTGCATGACCTTGGGGAAGTCATTTCATTTCTCTGGAGCCTCTGTTTCTTATTAAAATGCAGGGGTTCTGTAGATTTTACCTCTATTATCAGATTAAAATGACTATTTAAAACATTAGATAACATTTTAGGAATTGGACTGAAAGAGCATCCCTAAAGCCTGTTCCAATTCTACTGTTCTGATTCTAAATCAAATCTGTCCTGTGAATCTGTTTCGCTCTCGAGCTGCAGCCCTGTCTGATTCTCCCTAATCTGCGTCTGTCTGACAGGCTCAGTCTTTGTGTGCACAGCATTCGTGTGAGGCCCACACTTCCGCGGTTCAGCCCGGGAGACGAAGGGGAGAGCAGCTTGGGCTCTTAGCCGTGTAAATCTCCCTAGGATCTGCCAAGCTGGAGCTGGGGTTTCTGAAAGGTGAAGAAGCATAGGAAAAGAGGCCAAGATGAGGTCTGGAGCCTTCCCAGTAACACAGCAAGGCTGGAGGTCCCAGAACCCAAGGTCATTGC